AGGTAAGCAAGAGGGGCTATGGTGCAGGGCTCATTGTCTCAGGCTTTTTCTGGTGGTTTTGGTCAAAAGTAATTCTTTTCTCCTCACTGTCATAAATATAGGTCATGAAAATGGGTATAGTGGTGTCAGAAAGTGTCTTCAGACTGATTGCATATTCCATAGATAGTACTCTAGATAGTGTCACATGCCCTTTATCTATCCACCTAGCCATTTGCCTGCTTATCCACCCTCAATCCATCCATCTGACAATTCACCTATCATGTATCCATTTATCCCATACACCTACCCATCCATCCGAACCATATTATGAGTTACAATTGACAGACATTCATATGTATATTTAGTGAACATTTTGTATCGTAATACTTGTGTTCACTTGCAGAATCATCACTCACTAAAATCTACCCAATGAACACGTCTATTATCTAAAGTTTCTCTTCTCCTTGACATTCTTTCCCTTTGCTGTTGCCTTCCTCCGTGTATAAGCAGACCCCACATTTTCTGCTTGTCCATGTTATCTTCCATTCACATGACCAGCGAAACTTTTCCCCTTATTTTACATATGTACCCATGTTTCCAGTTTCCTTCTTTCCCCAGACATCTACAGTTCCTATTTTCTATTCAAACAGTCAAAGCTCACAATTATCCCTGTTTCATAAATAGTATAAGGCTTAAATGTTTCCTATTCATGAATTTTCCCAGTGAGGCCTCAGTCTGTCCCATGGGTTTTTCTCATGTCCTATGGACAAGACCAGGGTCCCTGTGATTGCCTCTTTCCACAGACCCAGCAAAAGTTCATTATTCTCCTTCACCATAGATTGAGCAAGAGTCCTCTAAGTTCCTCCTTAGGCTATAGAATTCTCAATTCCCCATCCTCCATATAGCCTATAAAATTATGAGGCATTTTGCTTCCATTTTTATAACATGAAAAGAGTCTTATTTTCCCCTTTCCTTTGAACATGACCAAGCTTAAAAATTCTCCAGAGCTGCTTGGATATAACCTGTCTGAGTGTTTCTCTTCATTCCTGAATGTAACTAGGCCATCATACTCCTCTTACTTCATATCTATAGTCAGGAATCCAATTTTCCAATTCTGTGAAGATAAACACATTCTTTCTTTGCCTTTTCTCCAAGAACACGAGCAGTCATATTACTTCCTCCTTTTGTGCTCCTTCCTCATTGTGTTGTATTTCACCACCAGGGTCCTTGTTTTCCCTCTCGATTCATGGGAAGGGTCCTGATATTCACTATATTTCTCATATTTTTGATTGTGACTGGAATCTCTATTTTATTTTTTATTCCACAAATATAACATGATCCCTACTTTCCACACATCCATGAACATATTGGAATTCTATATCCCTTAGTTATTGGACATTATTCCCATTTAATTCCATATTCCATTGATACAATTAGGCTGGTTACTTCTCTTTTATTTAATAGTTTTAAACTAAATACCTGTTTCTTCCTCTTACCATGGATCTTTCTGGTATTGTTCAGGGAAAACTGGATCAGGAAACAAGATGCCTGCCTGAACTTATAGGGCCCAGAAAGCAGTTTTATTTGCAGTGTTGACACATAGGCTCAGCAGAGGACTGTTTGACAAGCTACACTCTAGAACTGGAGAAATGGCTCGGCAGGTAAGAGTATGTGTTGCTCCTGCAGAATACCTGTGCCAGAGTCCAGCTTCAACGGGGCTCTGGTGCTGCAGGAAGGATGTGTGAAGTTGGTGAAAAATGAAGAGTCTGATCACCAGTTGTCTTTCAAACTGATGGGCCTGACTAGCTCAGACCGTCTTTATTTATACAGGTTCTAATGCATTCAAGCATGAGCAGTTTCAAAGCATTTCTCTTTAATCATTTTCTAAGATTCATTAACATTTTAGTTTCTCTTCTTTCCCACTCTCTTGATGTCATTGACTTTTACCCCATATCATTATATAGCAAGCCAAATGCTTATATTTAGCTAGGTATATATTATTCAGACTGTGCCCTAGCTGGCAGCAAATATGCAGTTACAAAGTAAGAGATTTGAGCCCTGTGATTAATTCTTAACTATATGAGATCAGCTGAATATATTGTGATGCCTTGAGTATCATTTTCAGGTGTATACCAGTGTCTGAGTGATCTGTATGTCAACTTTATTATATAGATTTCAGTTATAATCCTATTCTTTATAAGTTCTGAAAATAGTAATGATTAATACCTAACTTTAACTATCGAGACTAAGTTGCTTTGTTCTTCCTGGGAGTTTCTAAATGTGCTTCCTTAACAGGAAGCAGGACTTTTAGATTTCTTTATTGATACTTTGATATCGGAAAAGTATCTGAGTGTTCATATCCTGGTGCCAGAGAAATGTTTGGCCTTTCACGTCCTATCTCTTTTTCTTTCTGTGTTTCTACAAGGTTTTAAATGTCATCTTTTAAGAAACCATTTTCTTGCTTCTTAAGTTCTTTGGAATATGCTTATCTCTTTTTGGTATTGAATAAGCAATAACCATGAACTTTAGCAAGTTCTTCCAGCTTATTCAGGATGACTGCAAAGGCAGCCAGGGACAACTGGAGAAAATGGTTTCTGTAACAGATCCGAGAAGTTTGATTTTCCTGTTCCCAGTAAACTCGGGCAGACTCATAACTAACAAGGCATAACTAAGAGTTTCCATAAGAATAAGCATAGCAAAAGTTAAAGAAGCCTGAAACCCCTGAGCTTCCCAAGGTCAGCACAGGAGTTTGCAATATTGTATCCATAGGTCCTTACCAAATGGATAGGAATCTCCAAATGGCCTTGCTGTCTAAGGAACTCCATTTGTGAAACACCTATGCACTGTTCCCAAGGGTTACTGAATGGCTTCCACCATACCTGGATTTGATTCCCAACACCCACATATGTGGTTTCAACTGCAGTTCCTGGGAATCTGAAGCTCTCTTCTGACTTCAGGCACCAAGCACACAGATGGCACACGTACATACACCTAGGTAAAATGTTGCTATATATAAATTTTTAAAAAGAAAAAAGAAAAAGGTGAGCCCCAAGTTCAGTTAAACAGACTGTTTTATACTCCATCTGTCCCCTTGTTGCCTTCACACATAGCAATCCAGAGTGACATATATTTTGATTGGCTATATTTAGCTTAAATAAAAGACTTTTTTTTTTTGAATTGCCCCACAAGCAGCAGAGTTGGCTACAAGTCATTAATAGTATAGAGAGAAAAGAGTAGGAATTAGTCTGTAGTTGAGACATCTACTCCATAGTGACCTTGGCTTATCCAATTTGGAGTGTTATAAAGCTGCTATGTCTGGAGCTGGACAGCTTCTAGTACTCTGTGGAGCACAGTACAGGTGCTGTGATGTATCCTAGCAGGATTGTACACTGTCACAATGGGGGGGGGGTGGCTCAGACTAGGGTTAGGAACTTAGTAGACAATGGTTCCAGCACATGAATAAGAGTCAGGGGAGAATCACACAGAGGTTTGAGAACCACCAGTGCCAGATTCAGGAGCAAGTTCTTTGCCTCCATCCATCTTCATATTACAGGGATCTCAGGTGTGGTGGCACATGCCTTTATCTCAGGATGGGGCATAACCAACTAGAGTTCTGTGAGTTCCAGGCCAGCTTAGCCTATACAGTGAGCTCCAGGCCATCCAGGACTACAAAATGAGACCTTTATTTAAAAAGAATAATTCATATTATAGGAAAATGAAAAACCTAGGTTCATGGAGATTAACTATCCCTGGATCCCCAGAATATCTCTGGATAATGTGTGTGTGTGTGTGTGTGTGTGTGTGTGTGTGTGTGTGTGTGTGTTCTGCCATATCACTCTGCTCCTCACTGACTAGTACTTAGTTTTGAATATTTTAACTTTTAATTTGAAATAATATAAGAATTACAAAATGGCTGAAAAAAATGCAAAATCTCTCCTAGGCCTTTAACCTCCCCAGACATTGGCATAATCCCAATGCCACTAAGAAGGGAATATTTTAATACAAGCTCTGTACTACATTCAGATTGTGGGGATGGGGTGGGTTGGGGGCAGTAGGGAGTATATGAAGGACCAAGGTTGCTGTTATGTCTTACTGCATTCCTCTTCACCTTATTTTTTGAACCAGGGTGTCTCAATGAACTTGGAACTTAGCATTTTGGCAACACTGTTTGGCTGGTGAGGCCCTGGGATCCACCCGTCTTTGCTTCTCAGCACTAGGGTTACAGATGTTCACTAACAAATCTAGCTTTTATGTGGGCGCTGAGGATATGAACTCAGGGTCCTCATGATGTGGCACCAGATTTCATTGGTTCTCTTATTATTATTCTTTTCCCGGAGCAAACTGTAGTGTACTACAATGTGCTTCTGGATACAGGCAGCCCTGAATAGGGCTAATTTCTGAGTAAAGCTCCTGGCTCATTTCACATGGGGAGCTTGGAATTACCTCACAAAGCTCTGCTGGGTCACAACAGGTTTACAAGTGATAGTATGTGAATCTGCCACACAGTAAGAAAGAACAGAGGGTAATCTGTGTCAGGTGAAAGGCAAGAATAAGAGAAACCTGACCAAGGAAGCTCAGCACTCAGGGATGCTGGTGGCTTGGTAAGATGGTTGGAATGTATTACTCCAGATTCCATGTGGTTGAGTCCTATGTCTCATTTCAAATATGGCTTTCTCCATAAATGTTCACCCACTCCCATACATAGAACCCTCTGTCCACTACAGCAGGTTTTATTGCAGAGCTCTGAACAGGTCTGTTATTGGGATTTCTTACACACTGCATGTGTAGGCAAGGCCAAGGACTCCTCTGGCTTGGCAGCATACAGAGACAACCCCATACTTGTACTGCTAAAGGACAGATTGGCCATTGCAAATGGGAGGAACACTGCTGGGGAGTAGAGTATATGGCCCCTTGGGAAGCTTTTCATGGATAGTGTTCTTAGCACTGTGGAACTTGGGCTCTTAATCTTTGCTTAAGTGCAGGTGAAACCGCCTCCCAGGAAAGCCTGTGCTGGCAAGACTTCTGTGAAAGAGCAAGGGAACAGTCGCTGCACCCCCTACCCTGGCAACAGTACAGAGAAGTGCCTGCTGACACTGTGGAGATGAAAGCCAGAGGCTTGAGGATCCCCTTGCTGCTCTTGCTGGTGACTGTAGTTGTAATGGCCAAGCTGAATCACATCCAAAGGTGGGGAGGCTTCAAGGAGCAGGCCACAAGCAAGAAAAACATGAACTCTACAGTCCAATTCTTCATCCAATCCTACAACAACGCAAGCAATGACACCTACTTGTTTCAAGTTCAGAAGCTAATTCAAAGTCAGATGCAGGTTTGTGCCTTGCTTTCCCAGACACCAACACAACTCCCATCTCGCTTTTTCAGATGTATGGGGATTCTGACTGTGTTCCTGGGATAGCAGAGTACTGATAATTCTCTGGGAGCATCCTATGTGATAGGTGTGCTTGCTGCTTCTGGGCTAAGCAGCTCCCCAAGTCGCTACAGCCACATGACTTACCTGGGTTTAAGGTCTGGAGCCAACCTAACTCGATCTTCTTGGCCAAAAGCTGATGTGTAGAGCTTCTTCTCCATTGTTCTATGGAGGGAATTTCATTTTGTTTTGCCTACAAGACTGCAGGAATGGGGTTGGTTTTGCTTTCTTTAATGATTTTTATCTGAACAAAACATACACATTCTGTGGATTCCTTACATCCAACAGCATTTGTTTCAGTGTCTAGGACTGTAAAATAGGACTGAATTTCCCACTGGAGACATCTGGAACCACAAGTCTTTGGGGATAGCAGTGGGGAGGTAGCAGGGAATGAGCAAGCAGCTTGAGTGAGAGAGTTCCATCACTTCTGAGGCAGAGTCTCCGTATTTATTCCTGGCTGGTCTGTACTGCTCGACCTTCAGCCTCCTGCCTCAGCCTGCTGAATGTGAGCGCTAGGATCACACCTGTGTGTTACCATACCTTCTCAAAGTACTTGTGAATTGTATCATTTGAAAGATGGTAAAGAATTTGCAAGCACAGATTGATCCACTGTTCCCTATGCATCCTAGTTAGACAGATTTGGGGAGAAACAATTCACAAGAAGGAAAGACTAATAGTCTAAGAGGATGGGACGCGGATGGAACAGGAATTAATAGAAAGAGAGAAAGGCATGGAAGTGGGGTGGGCAATACTAGTGTTATAAGCAGGCTAGTGAGTTCCTAAATCCCCCAGGGGAATTCCTGGCTATTATGAACTATGACCACCAGGTGGCGCTGTCCTCACTTGTCTTTTTTCACTTGACTCATTTTCCTTTAGGTATGGCTGAAACACTTAGATTTAATGTGTGAAATCAGCCTTTTACCATGAACAGTTAACTGGTCAAGAATAGTGTCTTTTAAAAAATGTTATAAGCAAACTTGATGTTACTTAAAGTGATAAGTGGACAGTGTGGGCTTGGAGATTGGAAGGGGAGTAGAGTTATGGGCACAGGTTTCTGGACATCTAAATATCCAGGTGTAACTTTGAAAGTCTCAGTACTGCAAAAAAAGGGGAAAAGGGGGTAGTGGACTGGTGGGCCTGCCTTCGACTTTCAGCTGCTCCAGCTGGCCCTGGCTTGTGCCTCTGTGGCTTACCTAGCTATCACATCATCACCTTGCATTGACTATCACCCCAGGAAGAAACACATTCAGGGCACAGCAGGTATCATTTGAACTGGAAAGCTCCTAGGAGATAAAGCAAGATCTTCAGCACATACCATTCTTCTTGGTTCCCCCAATGGTCCACAGAGTTGACAGAAATATTTAGTAACTTAAACATTTGAATTTTCTTAAGACACCGCTGTGTGGCTTTTCCTGGGGAGACCCAAACAAGTGTCTACTTGCTATACACAGGACACCACCAACAGACCAAAGAAATGGTTCCAACCAAGTTTAGCTTAGTTTACCAGTGGGTCTATGGGAGATACTTAAAAAACACATGGTTGACTCCAAAGCAGCTATAGCATCAAAAAGCTCATCCTAGCAAGGGTGATAGCTCAGGATGGTGATGGCATCTTGGAAGTTCCTGCAGGTGGCTCAGCTAGCCTAATAGTCTCCACAATGATCTAGGGTAGGAGGCCTTACAATCTTGTTTCATTTGATTCTGAATCTTATGAGCCAGCTTCCACTCCCCAGGGGGAATGTTTCAATTGGAAGGCAGTAGCTACACAATGGGCTGGTTTTTATGCATTAGTGGAAGTACTCCTATTTTGCCCACAGACTCCTCAAGCAGATTGAATGCTTATGTGGACCTCGCAAATGAAGAAATGGAGTCTGCCACATTAATTTCTCAAGGTTTCAGAGCTAATACATGGGGAGTGACTGAAATCAATTTGACTTCCAAGCTTATTTTTAAAGATTTATATTTTTATGTGTATGAGTGTTCTGTTTTCAAGCACATGTATATAAGAGCACCACATATGCCCAATGCTTGCAGAGACTAGAAGAGGGCATTGGATTTCCAGGGACTGGAGTTATAGATGGTTGTGAACTGCCATGTGGGTTCTGGGAAGCAAGCCTCTGCTTGCAAGTACTTTTAAGCCATCTTTCTAATAAATATTTAGATGTGTTGCTGAATTGTCTACTTTTTGATTCTCTGGGATGGAGAGTAAGGAGGGAGAAAATGGCTACAGACTGAAAAGGAACAGGGCTAGGAGCTCACAGTGGTCTGTGGTTACAAGGCAACCCAGCTTGTCTTATTATGATGATAGCTGAGAGACAAGAACTATGTGGTTCCCACAGCAAAGTCTAGAGCATGGGGTTGTGGCTGATTAGGGATCTTAGTTGCTATTGAGACTCACTCAGTGGAGGGGGAGCTGAGTTTTGGCAGATGAGTTCTGGGAACGGGTCATGGAGAGGGTCAGACACTGGATAGTCATGAATGGAAATCAGCAGTACAATTATATCTCCACAGCTGACCACAGGAGTGGAGTATTTGGTCACTGTGAAGATTGGCAGGACCAAATGCAAGAAAAATGAGACAAAGAGAGCTTCCTGTCCTCTGCAAAGCAGCAAGCTGAAAAAGGTCTGTTGTTCAGAGTCCTCTGAGAAAGCCTCAAGGCTAAGGCTGGGGAATGAACATCCTCAAACTGAGAGTTGAAGGCTCGCAACCTTTCTTAGTACATCCAAGAAGGAAAGGCTGTTGGCATAGCCAGTCTGGCCACCCAAGCAGACACAATCCTGAACCAGGGCATCTGCTTCCCCCACAGAGCTCCAGGGTACAAGTGTTGTCTGTTCCTCCTCAGGGCTTTTGTTATCTTGCTCCCATTCTTTAGGTCACTGAAGACTGTCCCCATTTTCTCTATGTCTTTCCAATCGGGTTGTCCCTTCCTATGTTTTCTGGTCCTCATTGGACAGATGGTAGATATGAGGGCCCCTTTCTGTCCCAGGGTGTAGGTGCAGGGGTGGGAGAAGGGGGAGGGAGGCTCAGTACCTCTTTCTGGAATCCTAGACCCTGTTTAGACTGATGACTCCGGAGGTCTCAGAGGAGCAGTTCCTCTCTGGGTTCCCCTGGGCCTCAGGAGATGGAGCCTTTTCTTCCATTGTTGAAAACTATTTTCCCCAAAGTTGTTTGTCTTTCTTCTTCCACAGAGTCTGATTTGCACGTCACTGATATATACTGTGCCCTGGGTGAACTACTACCAGCTCTGGAACAATTCCTGCCAGGATAGTGAAGTGCCCGTATAAAGATCTCTACTGACACCCAGATGCCTGTGTTGTGTACTGGATTTTATATAGCCCTAAGAGAACTTGTGCCCCTCTCTGGGGTGTATCTACATGCTCACTCATCTTTACAACACTCACACTCAAAAACATGCATAGTAATAGCACCTTTATTGACACATGTACTTCTCCTTCACACACACACAGGCATACACATCCCTGATCTCATATACTTACATTCATCTTGCAAACAGTGCAAATATTTCCACATGTGAACCTCTGTGTTATGCCATACCTACAGCTCACATACACTTTACAGATATGCAGTGGTACCCGGGACTGCTATGCTTTGAAGAGGATGCTGACATTCTTTTGTGGGGGGGGGGGATGCTCTCTGTTCTTTCTACATCAAGTCCATGCTTCTGCTATCTCTAGGCCCAAGTACAGCCATCAACTCTGGCCTGGGGATGGGGAGCTCTATATCCTATCAGTACACACAACACTGTGACTCACACATGTCACAGTGAGTGTATCCGAAGTCCCATCACCAAACAAGGGTGAGTAACCAGTGTAGATTCAGTACACTTGTACCAAGGCTGGGACTTACAATGGCTAAAGGATAACAGGCAGCAGCAGTAGCAGCAGCAGGAATGTCTTTTTGTTTCTGTGAAGAGAATGGCTTATAGTTTAGAGGTTTAGTCTTTTATTGTCATGGAGAGATGCATGGTGGTACTCAGGCAGACATGGTGCTGGAGAAGTATCTTAGATCCTCATCTAGATCCTCAGGCATCAGGGAGAGAGAATGACACTAGGCCGGGATTGAGTATTTGAAACCTCAAAGCCCACCCCCAGTGACACACTTCCTCCAACAAGGCCACTCCTAATAGTGCCAAATTCCTATGAGCCTATGAGGGCCATTTTCATTCAAAACACCACAGAAAGGTATAGGAAAGTATCCTGGGGGAAAGGTAGAAACCCCCAGAGTCCCTGCCCACTACAGTCACATGGTTCCCTTAGTCCCCAGCCACAAGCTATGAGGACATCTGTAACACACTGTCTTCTGGGAATCAGAGTCAGAGACTCAGTGCTCAGGTGTTGTTTGGGTTTGTTTTCACAGGCATCTCTTCCTGGCATGTGTCAAATTCCAGACTCTAGAAGAAGAGAGGTGCCAGGCACTGGCCTCGTGTGTGTGTGTGTGTGTGTGTGTGTGTGTGTGTGTGTGTGTGTGTGTGTGATCAATGTGCTTTCCCTCTAGGTCTCCAGACAACAGGCATGGTACAGTGTTATATTCCCACTTCTCTATTGCTACCTCCCTCCATTGACTCATGTGAGCTCAGTAGAGAGGGCACATCCTTGAGCTGAGGACATACTGAGTGTCCCATGGGATGCTTGGCTTTTTCCCTGGGTCTGCCATTGTCTCACTTAAGGGAGAAGAAGTGAGAGTCTCACATTAACCAAGGCTCTTAGAGGAGAGGGGCACAGGAAAGGAGTGGGAGGTTACACATTTGTAGAGAGAGCCCAAAGCACCCTGCCATGCAAATCCAATGTCATATTACACCCCCCCACTTTCTCTCTGTACCCACTGAGTAATTTTTTCATTCCCTAAACACATCATTCTTATCCATTCTTTAATAATGGGAGGTGCTCCCAAACTTCCGTGGAGACATCAGTCTACATCATGAGAAGAGGTGGACCCACTGGAACTTTTAGGAGGTTATTGGATCTCTGTCTATGTAAGTGGATGAACCCACTTGTCTGATAAATGAATCAATGTGTTAATGACTGACTGTGTTATCTTGGGAGCCAGTAGTGATGAAAGCCAGTTTAGATAGTTTCTGCCACTCCTTATCTCACTCACCAAGTGATGTCCTGTGCTACCTCAGGACTCGGGCAAAAAGAAGGCTATCACTAGATGGTGCTCCTTAACCATGCATGCAGATAGTTTTCTACTTACCTGTCTATTTTATAACCTACAGAGTCCAGTTGTGTTTGCGTTGTCATATATCCATGGGTGTGAGGACAATCTCTGGAATGTGGTGATCCCACCAAGGGCCACACTCTTAAAGAGAACATGAAGTTGGGAGGGTTTGGGGTGGATCTGGGAGCAGTTAGGGAGAGGAGTGAGAGGTGAATATGATCAAAATAATTGGATGAATAAATGAAATACCCAGAGGATTAATGAAAATGTATTTTAAAACTACACTTAGATCCTTTGCAAGTGGAAAAGACTTTGGTCAGAGTAGAACTCCTGGGATTCTAGTGATACTGATTTTTGTTTGTTATTTGTCATTTTTAATAAGATGTGATGAAATAGGAATAAACTTTAACAATCTCTAGTCAAATGTCTCCCTTTTAGAATGTAGTGGCTAACAGCATTAACTTTATCTCTTGATTCCTCCTACCAATGATGTAACCTGCCTTTTATTCTCCACCTTGTTAAATAAAGTGCCTAATGCATAATTTTTTTTTAGGATGTAATATGCCTAAACTTTTATTTTACTGCTCATTCTTCAAATTCCCTAACACACACTTATTTATTCCTTGGTTGTAACATATTTCTGATAATTGATTCAATCAAGTAATATTTGTGATAAAAAGCATTGAGCTATATTTTTTAATTTAGTAAATTTATTTTACATATCAACCCCAGTTCTCTCTCCCTCCCATCCTCCCATGCCCCTCACTGGCCCCTCCATCCACTCTCCAGGGGAGGGTGAGGCCTTCCATGAGGGATCATCAGAATCTGTCAAGTCATTTGGGGCAGGGCCTAGGCCCTCCCCTGTGTATCTAGGCTAAGGGAGTATTCCTCCATGGGGAATGGGCTTCCAAAGTCTGTTAGTGCACTAGGGATACATCCTGGTTCTGACACTTGTGAATACTATATTAAGTTTTATATAAATTTATTGGCATTTTGTAAGTTCCTTATGTATAATGAGCACAGGCTAAATTCCAACCAATATCATGAGTAATTCCACAATTTTATTCATTGATTTAATCTAATATGTGATATTTTATTTGTGTGTGTGTGTGTGTGTGTGTGTGTGTGTGTGTGTGTGTGTGTGCCCCCACTGGGTCAGAAACCTTGGATATCTCAGGAGCTGGAATTACAGGTGTTTGTGAATTGCTTGATATGGGTTCAGGGAACAGAACTCAGGTTCTGTGTCAGAGCCATTTCTCCAGTCCCACTGGGAGATACAAGCACATTCTGCCAAAGTATTTAAAGTCCAACTCTAAGTAATTTAATATATGCATTCGTGTTTTATTTTTCCAGAATACTGGTGAACATCTTCAAACTTGATCTAAAGTTGAAAGAATTTTGCAAAGAACAGCTATATACCCACCACCTACACTCTAAAATTTATATTTTGTATTGGTATTAGACATCTCTTTCCCTGTTCTTATATTTATTTACTCAACAGTCTCCTTTTTCATATTTACTTCAAATTTAGCTGAAGATATAAGTATACTTTACTTCTAAACATGTCTGATTGCAAGTTAAAGACATTTCATAATTTGTAGGTTTTTTTTCCCTTTTGAGCTAAGTTTCTTAATGTACAGATAGACTATTATTAAAAGTAATTTACTTCATTTGTAGTACTGTATTATTATCAATAGGAGATAGAACAAGACATGAAGCGGAGCCCCTGTGGCATAGTTCCTGGCTTTTCCCTGACTGCACTCCTTTCTCTTCTAGTGGATTTAGTCCCGTTGATTGATATTGGGGACTATGTCCATTTTCCCACAGGGCATATATTTTCCTTTGTCTCATAGATAAAACCTCCAGAATCCAAGATGCATTTGCTCTGGTCCTGGCTGCTGGTATAATATGGTGGGAGTGTAGATCTGAGTTTAGTTTACAGAAATGAAGGGCATCTCTCAATTCTGAATGAGTAAGGTCCTTGACTTTCTTAGCTCTTCATGTTTTCTCTTCTTGTTTCATACTTTAGAGGAAAGCTCTTTGTCAGGCTTCTGAGGGATTCCATAGTGTTAGCATCTCTGCTGTTCACTTACCTTCTCCCTATTGTCCTCCCTATATCCTATTTTCTCCATCTAGTCTTAAGACCTAGAGTATTTGGCCTGAGGATGTGGCTCTGTTTGTAGAATTTTTTTTTTTTTTAGTCTGCAAGAAGTCCTGTGCTTGACCCCACCCCAGCATTGAATAAAGTTAGGTGTGGTGGTACATGCCTGTTTTCTCACCATTTGGGAGGTAGAGGAAGAAAGACCATAAGTCTAAAGTCATCCTGGCTACATAGTAAGTTCCAGGTCAACCTGAGGCTACCTGAGACCTGATCTACAAAACAAAACAAAACAAAACAAAAGACAGACAGACAGACCCCCCAAAAGCCCTAAAGTCCTCTACTTGCTATGAAGCTGGGGGTGAAGTTCTGCTGTCATGCAGCTGTGAAGAATTTATGGGGAAAAACTGGAGTCATAATATGAAGACCATGAAGAGAACAGGCTAACATCTTTATTGCTCTAATTGAGGATTACTGTTGTCTGCAGGGTGACCTGAAGTTTGGTGGACACAGCAAGCACTTCAAGATACTCAGCTATTGGTACAGTTTTTTTTGAGAATTTTGTATTTTTCAATCCAGGGTATGACATACACTGAGAAGTAGCACTGTATTTGCTAAAACAAAAGACCAAAACACATATTTTAAAAGATGAACAAGAGATGGGCATGGCAGTACTCTCTAATGGCAGCAATTGGGAATCTGCAGTGGGGTATGGATAGTGAGTTCAAGTGGGGTGCATAGTCAGACTCTAAAAAATAAAAGATAAAAGAACTAAAATGCAAAGTGAGAAGGAAGAAAATATCAAACATAAGGCTGAGAATTGGCACTGCCTCATTGTCCCCTCCATCCCGGTATTTATATGATTTCACTCATGTGACAAGAGCATTGTGATTATTCTGGAGAATGTCCTGTTTGTGGTCAAGTTTGGAGTAGTAATGGAAGGCCTGGTTCTATTTTCTTGTCATTTTCACTCATGTAGTATTTACCTGATCTTCTCTCAGTGGGATTCTATTGGACCCACATTTCC